CTTGGTCTTCCTGCCAGTCGCTCTGCTTTCCTATTATAAACTGACCACACTAAGCATAAAATCACAGCATGGTCAGTTTTCTGACTTGCTGGGAATTCAGCCTGCTCTCCTCCAAATTTTCACACTGTCCTGGTCACATACAGTATTTCTAACCCTATAAGCATTCAAATGATGGATTTATATTGCAGTACCGCCCATTAGCCATTGAGATAACAGAAGGATGTGCCTGTTAAAAGATCCAAATGCAGTCTAGCACTACCCCCTTAGGAGTTGCAATAGCTTTGGGCCCCCCTATAGTCCTGCACAGCCAGACAACATGCATTTTCCTATTCAGACTTGCATCCAGGAGACAATGACCAGTCTTTGAGCTTGTTTTGATATTTTATTAGGGGTTAATAAAACTTGGATAGCGTAAAGGGTGTATGGGATGCCCAATGGAACTGGAACTGAGGAAAACTACCTGAATTTATTTACAAGTCTTTACATAAAAAAGTTCTTCAGTTCTTTTGGGCCTCCCATACACCCCTTACACCATCCAAATTCTAAAATCCCCTAACAATATATCAAAACAAGCTCAAGGACTGGTTACTGACTCCTGGATGTAAATGGATGTGAAAATACATGTTGCCTGGCTGTGCAGGAATATATAGGGGGACCCAAATCTTCTTCAACTCCTAAGGGAGTAGTGCTACATATGTATTCATCCCTGTGTGGTACCTTTAAAGTCCAAATATAAATTGGGGTTCAGTTTGACAGGAGTATAAGGATGTGGTAATGGGTGGGCACTTATCAATTTATATACTGTGCCCTACATGGTTTGTTTAACCACTTCCCATCCAGCCCATGTATATAAATGGCCGTACAGTGGCAGTGCAGGGGTGGGTTGCTGTTCATAAACGGCGCCCACCATTTTGGACTGTGCCCGCTCCTTGGGAGTGCGTGGCACCGCGATCCGGTGCCCGCTGTGTCCTCCGGACACCGATCGCTGTATGGGACCCCATCTGTGTGAGGTCCCGATAATGTGATTACTGATTGGCCAATCAGTGATCACATGAATAGTAGTATGCAAGATGTCCCTTCTGACATCATTGTTTACTGCGTGCGAAATCTGTGAATGATCACAGAGATCACATGTTACAAGGCTATTCACAACAGCCTTTGTACCATGTGACAAGCTGTGACCAATCACAGCTCACACAGTATTTCTTAATGGCTGCAAGAATGCAGCCAGAGAATGGAGATATGATTGCTTTTACAGCCTTTATGGGTATAAAAAGCAATCAGTGTAAAAAAAAAAAAATCTTCATCACCCCCCACAAGTAGTACAATGTCACTATGGTGACACTGTACTGCTAGGGTGACAGTATGTTTAAAAAAAAAAAAAAAAAAACAAAGATAAAAAAAAATAAAATAAAAATGTAAAAAATTTTTTTGAAAAATTATAATTTTTGGTTATAAACTAATTTGGGTTTTTTTTTTCCTAAAAAGATAGCTGAATAAATAAAAAAAAAAAAAAAAAAATCCCAGTGGTGAATAAATACCACCAAAATAAAGTTTTATCTGTCTCAAAAAAAGCGCTGAAAGCTGAAATTGGCGTGGATAGGAAGGGGGTAAAAGTGTCCGGACATGAAGTGGTTAAAAATGTAAAGTTGTGTAACTAATTCATAAAAAGAAAAAATGTACAGTATTATGTGATTTTGTGTTTTATAATGTACTAAATGCACTGACTGTTCTAGTTGCCCATTTTAGCTTTGTATGTGTTCTGGTGTGTACCATTTTGGTCATACAGATAATATTATAGTGCAGATATTTGTTTGGCTATGTAAATCTTATGACATCGTTTCTTGTTTTGAAATCTGTTATAGAAAATAAAGGCAGCTAGTATCAGAAAAGGAGCAATACAAACTAAATACGATGAAACTTTTACTGAACCTGATCATATTACTGGCATGGTTAGCATGTGAATCTTCCTCTGACTGTTACTGAGGTTACTGTGGTGAAGAAATGATAATAACAGGATGAACTGGAATCTGACACTTGACACTTTTTTCAGGTGTCCACAGAACAACTTACCCAGTCAGACTCAACGGTTATGAAGCTGGGGAATTCTCATACACTGACCTGTAAAGCATCTGGATTTGATTTCAGTAGTTCTCACATGCACTGGATCAGACAGCCTTGTGGAAGACAATTGCAATGCCTGGCTTATATCAGTAATGGTGGGGTAGCTGAAAAATGTTGATAAAAGCTGAAAACCGCTAAAAAAACCGCGGCTATCTGGCGTTTATGAGAGTTTTTCAGCCTGAAGATTTTGTGTATAACTTTGCTAAAAACCGCAAATGCTGAAAAAAAGCTAATGCAAAAACACTAAAAAACAGAAAAAAATCTCACGTTTTTATTGCAGTATTTTACAGCTAATGCTCCTGGTATTTTTATAACATCCAGGGTGCATGAGGCCTTAGTGCTACCCTCTTCAAGCAGCCCATAAAGGGTTTTCATTAGCAGCCTTCAGATCAATGAGGTGACATGTCAACCGGTATAGGAACCTTGCAATCTGACACTGAGCTGACATTTCTGTTTTCACAGGCAAAGAATACAAGTGAACATGAGCATAAAGGATAAAGGTTTACTATTAAACATCTATTATATTAAATGAAGTTCCAGATTATTAAAAAAAAAATATTCCAGGTTCTCTTCAAAGGACAACTTCAGGCAATTTAGGACTTAAAAAAACATCTCCATTCTCACAGTGTAATCTACATACTGTACTTACCTTCATCCCTGCTTCAGAGATCTTTACTGTGCAGCCCTGCATAGTACCATACAAACCTTTCCCAGAAAAAACCTCTAAAAGTGATGTTATTTTGTTTTTTGGCCAATTTGCCCTGACATTGCTTTGGAGATAGAAGGGAGGAGTAATTTCAATGTAGGTTGTGCTCTATATTTATTACCTAAAATATTTCATGTTAATTTGCTAAAATGACCAATTACTTATAATAAATGATAAAATCAAATATTGCTAGAAAGTCTGGAATCCATAGGTATATCCACCAAATCACCATAAAAATTATGTCACCTTATGGGAAATGCCCTACAATGTTTTACCTTCCTTCTTTGTACTATTCCTGTTCAACTTTTTCTTCTCATACCTTTCGAGACTTTTGCTTTCTTACATCATTCCTATACCTTTAAGACTTTTTTTCCTTCTTATTACCTAAAATTCACAAGGTTTGTTACCTAGATGTCCATATCACATTGTATAAATCTGTTATTTTGCTCATATTTATTGTTAAAAGAAAACGACTAAAGTAAAAGAAAAACCTAACACACCTATTGTTGAAAATGGTCCTCCTACCCATCCTACCTAACTCATATAAAACAGATATGTGTACTTACCTATTTTTAATCCACTTTGGTCCAGTCATATGATCCCACAGTTCTAGCTGTCCTGTGTCAATGAACATTTGCAGGGGAGAGGAGGGAATGTTGACAATGGCTAAACAATGGGAGCCTATGGGTGATATCACAGGTCTTTGGATTCCAGCTGTTGTTTAGTGTTCCCTGAAATGGAGCTGCAGGAACCTTTGATCGGACTGAATTAAAATAAGTAAGTACACACATTGTTTTTATGTAGGATAGGTAGGTGCAGGGGGAAGGAAACATTTTTTAGGAATACCTACATCCAGGCTTTTCTTCCACTTTAAGAACTCACTTTTTATAGATCTACAAACACTCAAGATATTTCCTCCCTCAACAACTCACGTGATCTTCTATTCTTCAAAAGAATTACAACACACAGATTATATGGTGTGATTGTAAAAGTTTTTATCTAAAAATTATGAAAAAAGAAAAAAAAAAAGATTGCTAAAAATATAGTATATGATTTTGTTCAAATTCTCTAACCGTTAAATATACAAATAATAACATGGAAATACAGATAAACACCATCTCTCCAAAAATGTTAGGCAAATCCCTGGACTTAGTAGCAGAAAACTAGAAAAAAAAATGGTTTAGTCCAAAACAAACAGATCTTTGGAAGTAACTGCATTTTATAATATATTAATGCACTTTAATCAATACTAAAATCAGTATGATGAATCAGTTATTCCTCTGTCTATATCAATTTTCATTGAACACATTCTTTCCTGTAATACCTTTCATTGATTGATCTATAGAATACAACTGTACATACATTTCATAAAACAGTTTACATGTCTACAAAGCTTATACAGTAGCTTTTCTTTAGGCAATTAGAGAGCGTACAGTATTGTACTGTAAATGATCATACAAAGTGGAAAAACTGAGATCATTGGTTATGGAAGAAAATAATTATTTATTTTTATTACCTAATTCTATTATTATTGTGGAATTAGACAGATCAATGAGTTGTAACATCATCTAAGGGTCCCAGAGCAATGACAAGCTGGAAGTTGGGGTTCCACAAAAATGTCCTATTGATACAAGGTTTTTTTGCGGAAGAGATGTTAAACTCCTCTGACCGATTTATGTATTATTATTATTATTGCACAATTTGAATGACATATTTTAAAATGTAATTTTTATTAAGATAATTGTGTGTTAGCATCTCTGAAAAGGTGCATGTACTGCTTTTAAGATGCATTATATGTACTCTGCATTATGTATGCAAATGAGGGATCAGTACAATCCATTTATTACAGCTGCATCCCACAGCTGAGGTAATTGAGAGCAATCTAGCATTTTGGAACAAAAGTACCTCTGGCACAATGAATCCAATCTTGGTCCTGTTCATATTATTGGCTTGTTTATCAGGTATGATTAACTGATGAAAGAAGACAATGGCTATGTCTTAATCAATTATATCTTTAAAGTTTCATTTAGCCTATGTTTTTAATTGAGTTATTGTTTCAGATGTTCGTGGTGATCTTCAACTTACACAGCCAAATTCAGTGGTAGTAAAGCCTGGAGGTTCTCATAAACTATCTTGTAAAGGTTCTGGATTCAACCTCAATGACTATTGGATGAGCTGGGTCAGACAAATACCTGGCAAAGAACTGCAATGGTTATGCCAGATATACAGAGAAAGCACAACCTACAATGATATGATTAAAGGAAGATTTACAGTCTCTACAGACTACAGTAATAACATGATGTTCCTGCAAATGGACAACATAAGAACTGAAGACACTGCAACGTATTACTGTGCTAGATACACAGTGATAGGAAACATCCTATGTGTATGACACAATTAGCAGTGGCACATGCCTTAGTATGACAACTGGTGGCAGTATAACCCAAAGAAAGGACCTTGTTTATAGCAAGAAAAAAATACATAGAAAGAAAAGTATATACTGTTGTATTACATTAAAATGTATGCATTAGACAATTTACATATTATACTTACTTTTTACCAGTATAGTATTTAAACAAACATATAAATTTCCCATCCATTTAACAGTTTAATTTTCACGAATACACCCAAGAAATAGTCTGTAAGTGAATTATTATGTCACGTAAATTGATCACAGATCTACTTGTGGTAGATCATTTTTATTACATTGCTACAAAAAGGATCAAAACTGCAAACTAAGGAAAAAACAGATTTGCTTTGGTTTACCTGAAAAATCCTTTTCCTTGAGTACATCAAAAGACACAGATCTTCATATTCATCTCAATATGGTTATGCTGTTACCTTTAACTCAGTGGTTCTCAACCTTCCTAATGCCGCGACCCTTTAATACAGTTCCTCATGTTGTGGTGACCCCCAAACATAAAATTATTTTCATTGCTACTTCATGTATGTGTGCCCCGGTGTTTTTGTATACTGCAGTGGTCTTCAAACTGCAGCCCTGGGGCCAGATGTGGCACTTGGCTTGCTTTTATCCATTGATACCAACAATGGGACATAATTCTTTCTACTGACACCAATTATGGGGCACTATTCCTCACAATGACACCAACAATGGGGTCCAATGACACCAATGATGAGGTACAATTCCTCACATTGACACCAATGATGGGGGTGCTATTCTTCTCACTGACACCAAAGAAGGAGCATGGTTTTCTCCCACTGACATCGGGACCTTTTCTACTCTCACTGGCCACAGCCTCCAAGTCTGAAGGACAGTAAACTAGCCCTTTGTTTAGAAGGTTTGGAGACCCTTGGTATAGAGGATATTTACACAGGCCCATTCACAGAACTACTGGCACCAGGCTCATGGTGCTAAGAATAAATACATTAGGAACATATGCATATAGATCTACAAAGTTCAGAAATTCAGGCAATCATGATTGATGAATTATATGATTCTCCAAAGCATAAAACAAATCTGCCTACCCATATTTGCGGTAGTTCTGATAAGTATTCATTTAGCTCTTCCTGCTATATCCAGGCTGCTGCTATTGTAGAAGCTGTGCAATCACCAGCATCTATAATAGAATGACGCGAGCGCTCATCAAATAAAATGTATAAAGCAGCTAAAACACTTGAGGGAATCACAATAGCCTCATGTTCTGACAAATAAAAGTAAAGTACAGCACTAAAAAGGATCAACATAAAAAAAGTTTGTTCAAAAAAGTTTGTGCAGAGATATAAATATATATAGATGTGCAAAACCAATCAGGTAATCCCACAGCTGTAAATATTTCAAACGGCTTGTGACAGAGAGTATAGCAGAAATGTGCACTCACCGACCGCGCATAGGAAATGCACATATAATATCCATCAATCACCAGCATCCACACTCTGTGTGACCTGTGAAAGCGCAATGCTCCTTTCATGGTCAAGAGTTCAGGGCAGCATCTAGACTATCTACAAAAGGACCAGGGTAATCAACAAGGGAAAGGAAGTATAACACATTGGCATGTTTTAGAAGTAAGCATTAGTAAGTGTTATGCTATAACTCCCAAACCCAGTCTCTGTGGACAGTATAGCCACTTGCTGACTTGACAGAATCCTACACAGCTGTATTTGTTTCAGTTAATGGCTGTGTTTTCAACCTACATATGAAATTGATGATCATTAGCACCTGCTGACTTGACTTTGTGCAAGTGTATAAAGTGTGCAAGTGTAAGAATCGATGCTGGTTAGAAGCCAAAAGGTAGTAACACCAAAAATTGATTTGATTTAGATTTTTCTTCTGTTTGCTCCCTGTGCATTTTGTAAACTGATAAAAAATAAACAAATAAAATATATATATATTTCAGAAGCAATACTTTACATTATTTCTTCACACATACCTAAAGCTTTTAAACATTACTATATATGTAAAGTTTTTGGATGAAATAGGTAAGAGATTAAATCCCTATCAGATTTTTTGCTGCCTGCATCCATCCCACTGGGAGAAATTTCCCTTCACTTCTTAAAGATGCAACAGGAAATGAGAGGATATCTCCCTAAAGTGAGGGGAATTCCCATTTTATATATTTGTTACCCAAACATTTTTCCTATGGGAAGATTCCCCTACACCTCTTGCTCTGGTGACAACCCATTTAGGATTTCTTCTTTCTTTCTGCCTTAGAGACAAAGGTCAGCAGCACAGAGGGCAAATTACCCTATCGAGGACACAGATAGCCATAAAAACTTGAGAGTCTAAATCTTCCTCACTTCATCCAACACTAACAAAAAAGTTTATATACACTTTGAAGTTTGGTAAACTCTTGATGCATTTTAAAGTCTAGATAACCCAGATACATTTGCTATGCAAATATCTAAGCTATATATACTGTATATACAGACGAGTGTGGTTTAATGTGAAAATACCAGCTATACCCATCACATCCCCTACAAAACATGGAAATGTTTTTTATGATAATTTTCACTATTTTCTCCCCTCTAGGTAAGTATTATTTATGGGTTATGAGATCTATTTTGTGATATTTTCTTTATTAATAAAGGCACTTTGTGTTCCAGGTATCTTCTGTCAAAATATACAACAGCCAGGATCAGTAATTGTGAGACCTTCAGAACAGCTTCAGTTGACCTGCACAGTATCTGGGTTTGAATTAACCAGCTTTCACATGCATTTGCTCAGATATCTTGCTGACAATAGGATGGAATGGATTGGACTTATTTGGACAGGTGGGGGCACACGTTATCCAGATTCACTGAAAGACAGAATATCCATCACAAAAGACAACGGAAAGAAACAGGTCTATCTACGTCTGAGCAATACAGTTGTGGATGATAGTGGAATGTATTACTGTGCACGGGAAATGCACTGTGGCATAAAGTTATAAGGATCCTGGACAATATTTACTCAGTTCAATATAAACCACAAGAGGAAAGGAATTACTCAACTATAAAACAAGAAAATGCTATGAGTGAATGAAGAAAACGTTTGTAGATGTAGCTCTTCTTTTTTAAGCATGAAGCATTACCCTAGGTTCAAACCTAAGCATTTTCCGCAGCATTTTACAGAAACACACTACAGTCCATTTAACATGATTTCTTATGGGATACGTTCACAAATGCAAAAGTTGCATTTTTGTTCTATAGAATTCAATGGAAATGCTGAAGAAAAGCATGTAGTGTGTTTTCTGCTGCCTTTTTATTGTGTTTTTGCCACGTTTTTGATGCCTTTTTTTTAGGTTTTTTGCATTGTAATCTGCCTAGCAACAAGAAAATGAAAAAAATGCAAACACATAAAAAAAAGAGGCACCGTAAAACGTACTGCAGAAACGGATCAAATGCAAACTGCATAGGTGTGAACCTAGAATTATTGAATTCCTCTTTCTATCTCAACAAACAGCAGATATACTTCTCCTCTCAGACAATAAGATTGATCAGTAACAACTACAATTATATCTGCTGTGCAACAATCGGCCCAGAGAAGCTCCAGAACTTTTCTGGGAGCCGAGCACAGTGTGTTACCGCAGTTTTTGGTGCATTTGCAGCACTTGAGGTGCCTTTAACATGTAATGAAAACACAAACAATGCACATTTGCAGCGTGTTTCGGAAACGCGTGGCAAATCATGCATTTTCTGTGCAGTTTGCCATATGTTCAGAAACACACAGATGTGAATGGAGCCTCATGATTCTTGTGTAATAAAACCAATTTCACTTTCAGGGCCCACTGACACCTAGAGTAGCAGGAACACGTTTTTTGGCTCGTTTTTTCAGTGACACACATAGGGCAGTTGATTGATTTTAATCAGTTCCTGACCGCACTATAGCCAAAAGACAGCTAACGATTAAATGATCACCAGACTGCGGGTACGAGGATCTGCAATCCGCTATGTCCACCGCAGGAGCAGGCTGCATGACGTACATGTACATGATCCTGCCTGCCTGTGCCGCCCACCTGCAGTAAAAGTACTGTGGGTGGTGGGCAAGTGATTAAATATGTGGAAAGTCAGGGGCATTTCAAAGCAGGTTATTTACAAATCTTGTAAAATGCAGCTTGTCCAATCAGACCTGAAATGGTCTTAACCTCTTCACTTCAGCACCTCCTGGCCCTTTAAGGGGTTTCAGATGCATTTCACATAATAAAAAATGGTCCCAAGCGCAACGGGAGATCGTGACCTTTCCGTGAGACACTGACATATGTGCTGGGAGCGCGCAGGGTGCGCGCTCTCAGCACACATATGTTTTCAAATGGTACGCAAATATGCAGCCGCTCAGCGTCAAGGCCCAGCCGCCAAGCGGCCACATATTTGCATACAGTCGGCGTGAAAGGGTTAAATATTGATTGGGTCCTTGTTTATAGGGAATAGCATTTGAAAAGGAGTAACTTTAGCTTTGCACAAGTGTTAAAAAATGCTATTTTGGCTTAAACAATGCAAAAAATATCTAAGTAACTTTAAATGAAATGTATGCACTCAATTGTTCTAGGCCAATAAGAGCATTACGGTATTTGTCACACATAAGATCAAAGGTGCTGATAACCAATCAAAACAACCAACCAACCAACCAATCAGACTGCCCTTCATTTATGTCAGCTGGAAGAAGCTGTATATGAAGAAAAGATTTTGATTGCTGCCACAATAGAATGGAGAGGTCTAGAAGATGTATGCAATATTGCATGCATAGAAGCTACCAAGGTGCACAATATTGATAAGACATATATACTGGTAGAATGGAGTGCCTCCATGCTTGCTATGGCAGAAAAGGACTGAGCATTTTGAATTGGACTTTACAAAGCTTCTGATGATTATATTGTTTGCAAGTGCTCTGTGGACTTTGTCATCCTTTCTGGGATCCAATGAATGCTACCTCTCTAGAGAACCAAGTTGCTGTGGAGATTCATTTGGATTAGAGGAGTTTGCATCATATACAGTGGGGCAAAAAAGTATTTAGTCAGCTACCAATTGTGCAAGTTCTCCCACTTAAAAAGATGAGAGAGGCCTGTAATTGGCATCATAGGTAGACCTCAACTATGAGAGAAAAAAAAATCCAGACAATCACATTGGCTGATTTGGAAAGAATTTATTTGCAAATTATGGTGGAAAATAAGTATTTGGTCACCTACAAACAAGCAAGATTTCTGGCTCTCGCAGACCTGTACCTTCTTAAAGAGGCTCCTCTGTCCTGCACTCATTACCTGTATCAATGGCACCTGTTTGAACTTGTTATCAGTATAAAAGACACCTGTCCACAACCTCAAACAGTCACACTCCAAACTCCACTATGGTGAAGACCAAAAAGCTGTCGAAGGACACCAGAAACAAAATTGTAGACCTGCACCAGGCTGGGAAGACTGAATCTGCAATAGGCAAGCAGCTTGGTGTGAACAAATCAACTGTGGGAGCAATAATTAGAAAATGGAAGACATACCAGACCACTGATAATCTCCCTCGATCTGGGGCTCCACGCAAGATCTCACCCCGTGGGGTCAAAATGATCACAAGAACGGTGAGCAAAAATCCCAGGACCACACGGGGGACCTAGTGAATGACCTGCAGAGAGCTGGGACCAACGTAACAAAGGCTACCATCAGTAACACACTACGCCGCCAGGGACTCAGATCCTGCAGTGCCAGACGTGTCCCCCTGTGTAAGCCAGTACATGTCCGGGCCCATCTGAAGTTTGCTAGAGAGCATTTGGATGATCCAGAAGAGGATTGGGAGAATGTCATATGGTCAGATGAAACCAAAATAGAACTGTTTGGTAGAAACACAACTCGTCGTGAGAGAATGCTGAGTTGCATCCAAAGAACACCATACCTACTGTGAAGCATGGGGTGGCAACATCATGCTTTGGGGCTGTTTCTCCGCAAAGGGACCAGGACAACTGATCCATGTACAGGACAGAATGAATGGGGTCATGTATCGTGAGATTTTGAGTGCAAACCTCCTTCCATCAGCAAGAGCATTGAAGATGAAACGTGGCTGGGTCTTCCAACATGACAATGATCCCAAACATACCGCCCGGGCAACAAAGGAGTGGCTTTGTAAGAAGCATTTCAAGGTCCTGGAGTGGCCTAGCCAGTCTCCAGATTTCAACCCTATAGAAAACCTTTGGAGGGAGTTGAAAGTCGGTGTTGCCCAGCGACAGCCCCAAAACATCACTGCTCTAGAGGAGATCTGCATGGAGGAATGGGCCAACATACCAGCAACAGCGTGTGCCAACCTTGTGAAAACTTACAGGAAACGTTTGACCTCTGTCATTGCCAACAAAGGATATATAACAAAGTATTGAGATGAACTTTTGATATTGACCAAATACTTATTTTCCACCATAATTTGCAAATAAATTCTTTCCAAATCAGCCAATGTGATTGTCTGGATTTTTTTTCTTATTTTGTCTCTCATAGTTGAGGTCTACCTATGATGCCAATTACAGGCCTCTCTCATCTTTTTAAGTTGGAGAACTTGCACAATTGGTGGCTGACTAAATGCTTTTTTGCCCCACTGTACACTCCTGCTTCCATGATAACACTAATATTATATCAATTACTAGTTATCATCCATATATTTACAACACCTCTTCGGACCTTCAATAATAGAAACCAAACCCTAGAAATTACCTCAGTTCAGTCATTTTACTTGGTCTCAGCCATGAGATAACATTAGATAACATCTTGTGGTCAGTGGCCACTCCTTCAGGGGGGACAATGTGTCCAAGATAAGTGACAGACGACTAATAAAACTGACACTTCTCCAAGGAAAACCTAAGCCCCTCATCGTGAAGTCTTTTCTCCAAGTACTCTTCATGCTCTTCAAGGGTTCTGCCAATGACAATTATGTCGCCAAGACACACAACACCTCAATGACATTCATTTTTCCTACTATTTGTTCCATCAGTCCTTGGAACGTTGCTGAAGCTCCCAATAGACCCTGTGGCATTCTCTCGAATTTGTAGAACCCCAGTGGGCAGATAAAGGCCATCTTCTCTCAATCATTGAGGTGCATGTGGATCTGACAGTACCCACTTTTTAGGTCAAACACACTGAACCACTTTCCACCAACAGGTATTTTAAAGCATCTTCCATCTGTGGGGTAGTGTACATATCAGGGATAGTTCTTATGTTAAGTATATGATAGTCAATGCACATCCACAGGGAACTGTTCTACTTCTCCATCCCCACTATAGAAGACTTCTAGACTCCATGACTCTCAACTGATACCCATTATCTTTAATTCTGCCAACTGCTCATGGAGATCTTCCAAATTGCCCAGTGTAAGCTGTCAGACCCTCTCCCAAAATTGCTTGTCTTTCTGAAGACAAATTAGGCGCTGGGCACTATTCACACCCCCCACATCAAAATGATTCTTGGAGAACATCTCTTGCCATCCACTCAGGTGAAATCGGTGTATTCTGCAGGTAAAATCTTTCTACCTGAATCTCATCTTCTACTTCCCTGAGCAAATCAGATGGTGAGACTAGGGTTGCTGGATTCACTTGTCCTATCAGCATTCTGGTCTGTAACTTCACTAGAGAGTCAGTAATGTTGTGAACAATGAAGAAAATTCTACCATGGTTTTGTTGTAGGCCCTGCTTGACACCACTTAAGGGATCAACTCCACACCAGTGTCCTTTTCCTGAGAATTGGGTTCAAGGACGACAAATGGCCCTGGCTG